GTTCAGTTTCTCAACCTGGAATGAACAGCTTCATTCCCCTTTTTGAATAGAGGCCCAAACTGTTGTATTAATTTAATTGTGAAGTCCACAGCAAGCATTTCTGTTCTTCCCTCCACTTATCAGTTTAGATACAAAGGAAAAACTAAAAAAATAAAGTATAAAACAATTTTCCAATTCTGCTTTTGAAAGAGAAGAAAGGAAATACAATTTTACATTTCAAACTCATCACCACAATTTCAAGAACGTAAAGGAGCTTGTTTCAAATGCTTTTGTGTTAGCCTGGAAGTAGAAGTACCTGTTTGTTTTATATAGATACCACTATGCTCATCTCCATTTTTGTGCTCCTGACTATAAAATGCTTCTGAAAATAAAAAGAAAAATTACTGTTGAGCTCTGGTTGCAATATCATCACTCCATCTTCTTTTCCCACCACCTTCCTTTCGCTGGGTAATCACTGCCTGTTACCCCGTTTTGAACTCTTAGTCTGTCCTCTTCTGTTCCCGGCAAGTTCTCAATACCCTTGGTTACTGAACACGTGAAGTGATATTAAGAATGCTCAGGCCATAGAGAATAACAATGTGCCAAGCACACATCTCAGCTGACATTTTATCAGTACCAGTTTTAAGGTGGGCTACATAAATACTGATTTATACAGTTCATTCCATTGTCCAAGAACCTTGCAGAGAAAGGCATAGTGCTCTTTTCAAATGCATAAGCCTGGTAGGATTGCTTTAGGATGGACTTTTGGGCAGCATTTTCATATAATAATACAGTAATATATTATATATGTATACAATAAATAATTAATATTTATATATGTATTATTTAATAAATATGTTCAATAATATGTTCAATGTAAGCCTTGGAACCTAGTATCATGCAATAAGGTTAGAGTTAACGCCCAAAGATCAGGGAAGGATAAGGCAGTAGCCAGCATCAGGGATACTAGAACACTCCAGAATTCAGGCCCATGTTTCTCAGACAAGGTTCAACTAGGAGTGTATATTCCTTCCTGACCACCAGCAGCCAACATGGCTAAGTGGTATCAGTCCAGAAATTGAGAGTTCTTCATTGGCTCAATCACCATAAAGGACAGCTTGCAAATAAGGGATAAGTGGGGCTGGCTCACAGATTCTCTGTTGCATCTTCATGTGTTTGGTACCTAACAGCATTGGAAATCTGATTAGAAGGCTACAACGGTATTTGAATTATTGCTTTGGTCAAACAGGCAAGCAATGACCAAAGCAATTATGGGACAAAAGAAATTTGATGAACAATGTTTTTCCAAAACCATCTTTAATTCTCTTAAATGCAACATTGTACGTCTATAATGCCACCACATATTATTTGTTTCTAATTATGGCCTTAGTGCTCCAAACACTATTTCTAGAGTTAATAACTGAATGTTTCATTGCTGATGTTTTTTTAAAGCAATTCAGTACCTTCTTTGCCGATAGTTAATTTATCTGAAAAAATCAGATAACCTGAGTGGTATGAAAAAATATTCTTTTGACTGAATAATAATAATATTAATATCAATATTAATAATAATAATAATATAGAGGTTATTTCCAGATATTTCAAATGTGCTGTTTGAGGAAGTTATGCCAAATTGGATCTCCCATTCAGCATCTAGCATCAACAGATAACCAGACACCTTTGAATATGGCAATTTCTATCCATCTTCTTCAAACTTTCCAATGTGGAATTATAGATCTGGATTCAGAATCTACGCTGATTAAGACTTTAACACTCTTGTCATTGTTAGAAGGTTAAACCTATTGATTTTAGAATGCCTTCTAAATTAAGAAAGATTTATCGTACTTGAAATTTCTTATCCTCTTGTCATTTTTTGGCTTAGTAATCATCGAGCTCCTTACAGATAATACTTAAAGGCCATTTGCAAATGTGGCCATTTGCACATATTTGGAAGTTAACCCTATAGTTTTATCTAT